CCAGGAAAACAGAGCCAGCCAGACAGAGAGGCCCAAGGAGAGAGGGTCCATACTACAAAAGACACCAAAGTGAAGTAGTAAGTCACAGGAAGCTAGTGTGGGGTTGATACGGGTCCTAGATTTAAAGACGTAAGTATTATGAGTGACTTGTGAAGGTAGGAGGGTTACCTAATGACTCGAAAAATCTGAGGCTATATTGGAAATCTCATAGTGAGTAATAAAGGAATGAAAAAGTCAACGTTAAGGAGATGGACTAAATAAACGGAGGAGTCCAACAATGAGATCACAAAAGATAAACTGAGAGGGTATGGGCAAGAAAAGCCTTTTATCTGAGATACAGGATAGGATCCACAACAAAGGGGAACAGAAGGTGTTAAGGCATTGAAGACAGAAGGAATTCCATTTCTGAAAGAGAAACGGTGAGGAAAAAAAAGAGAGTTTTATCTCAAAAAAGGGGTCCCTGGAGAATATAATAGTAACTTAATAAATGTGGGGAGGGTGCAAGTGTGCAAGTGTGTGTGTGTGTGTGTGTGTGTAGCCAGCAGGAAACTCTCCAAAAGGAAATGCATGTGAGGGCTCTGCGCCAGGAAAAGCGATCCAGAGGACTATAAGAGCGAGGCTCACGTAGGGAGGGGGGTCTCACAGGCGGCCAGACCCACAGACTCACCTCGGCCGTAGCCCTGGGTGTGCTTGGCGAAGCTTCTCACCACTGCCTCCACAGCCTCCCGCAGTACCGCTGGGCTGCCGGCCGCGCCGGGGGGCAAGGGCAGCCCGGGGCCCCCAGACAGAAGCAGCGGGGGCGGGGCGGGGGGCGGTGGAGCCGGCGGGGGGCCTGCTGGGGGTGTGGTGGCAGCAGCCGCGGCCCCAGTCACTCCTGGCCGCAGCGCTCGCAGAGTGCCCCTCCCGCCAGTGCCCACTCCAGGCTGCAGCCGCTGCGCTCGCATCGTCTCCATGTCGTCCTCCAGTGGAGTAGCGGCCCGGACCCTGCCAGCCTGGCGAGTTAACGGTCTCACCACCCTAACCAGCGAGCGGACCGAGGGCGGTGCCGTGGCCCAGCCATCAGTCAAGCGGAGGCGGGGACAAGCCAGGCCCTATGCCAGTCACTGGAGGAGGGGCGGGAGCTGGCGGGCTCCAGCTCCGCCATAGGCAATTTATTGAGGAGGGCGGAGGTTCTGAGCAACCAACTGCAAAAAGAAAAAGCGGTATTCTCTTTAAGGGAGAAGCATAGCTAGGGTGCGCCTCTGGAAGTCCTGTGGTGAGTACAAGAAAAAGAACCAGACTCCTGGGGCGGGGCTTGAAGGAAAAATAGGACTGGATACAAGACAGAGTGAGAAGATTTTTAGAAATCATTTGTGTAACCACCTTAAGATGTAAATGAGGAAACTATAGCTCAGATAAATGATGTGACTTGTCCAAGATCACATAAATTGGGTGGTAGAACCAATAAGATACGTTTAATGAGCATATACTAAATATCAGACACTATATAATGTGTATTGCTGCATTGTCTTAATGGTCACAGTCACTAATTGGATTTTATTATTTAGTGAATAAGGAAATTAGCATTCGGAGGTGCTAAATGGCCCGAAATTAAATAGCTAGGAAATGGCAAAGAAGGGTTCAGACATAGCTCTTTTGACTCCTAGTATTTTGATCTTTTCATATGTCACATTGTTGGGTATTTTTCTCATTTCACCTATTCTAAGGAGCCCTGTTGTTGTTGTTGTTGTTGTTGTTATGTGCCGTCAAGTCGTAGCTGACTCATAGTGAACCCCTCCTTGGGTTTCTGAGGCGGTATCAGTACGGAAGTAGGTAGCCCAACCTTCCTTCTGAGGAGTGGCTGGGGGGGTTGAACTGCCATCCTTCAGGTTAGCAGTCAGATGCCTTAGGCACTAGGCCACCAGAGTTCTTTAAGGAGCCTTAATGGTACAATTGTTAAGTGCTTGGCTGCTACCCTAAAGGATGACAGTTCAAACCCACAGCTGCTCCACAGGGGAAAGATGTGGCAGTCTGCTTCTGCAAAGATTACAGCCTGGGAAATCCTATTGGGCAGTTTTACACCATCCTAATCGATGCCAACGGAAGCAGCAGTCAGGACATTAGACGACATGTAGCATTGGGAAAGTCAACTGCGAAGGAACTGTTTCAAGTGCTGAGGAGCAAGGATATTTCATTGAGGACTAAGGTGTGCCTGACACAAGCCATGATATTTCCAATCGCCTGGTATGCATGTGAGAGCTGGACAATGAATAAGGAAGACCAAAGAAGAGTTGATGCTTTTGAGTTGTGGTGCTGGCGGAGAATGCTGAAAGTACCATGGACTGCTAAAAGAACTAACAGATCTGTCCTGGAGGAAGTGCAGCCAGAATGCTCCTTGAAAGCAAGAATGGCCAGACTTCGTCTCGCCTATTTTGGTCATGTTGTAAGAAGGGACCATTCCCTGGAGAAGGATGTCATGCTTGGTAGGGTGGAGGGTCGACGAAAGAGGGGGAGGCCTTCAACGAGATGGATTGATACGGTGGCTGCAATGATGGGCTCAAGTATAGCAGGGATTGTGGGGCTGGCGCGGGATCGGGCAGTGTTTCGTTCTGCTGTGCATGGGGTCGCTATGAGTCGGAAAAGACTCGACGGCACTTAACAACAACAACAAATAGGGTCACTGTGAGTTTAAATCACTTGAGGGAAATGGGTTTTAAGTTGCAGGAGGGAGTAAGAAAGAGTAGATGGGCAGTCCTCTACTGCCCATTAAAGTGAAGAAGAATTAGAATATATGCAAAACAAACAAACAAACAGAAAAACCCCAAAATGAGAGGTCTAGAGGGTAGAATAAGACAGGTACCCTTGTTTATAGAACCTGTCAGACTGGGTTTCCTCTGGTTATTCTTACATATACACACATACACTATACACCATTTGTCAGCTGACCAACATGTTATTTTTACCTAGTTGAGGGTATATACTAACTCCTCTCTTCTCTCTACACCCTACAGTGGCTCATGAATTGTGATAGAGTTGTGTCAGCTTAGCCGGACAATTCTAACTGGTTTAAGCAGTTGTGATGTGTATTATTCCCATGATGAGATTGGATGTATATGTTTTGAGTAGCCAATCCATTGAAAAGCAGTTTCCCAAGAGTGTGGCCTGCTTTCAATATATTTATGGACATCCTGGGAAAAGAGGCACTTTTCTGTGGATCAGGATCCTATTGTGCTGCCTACAACTGTCTGTGAGCGAACAATCCACCATTTGGCCTGGAGATCCTGGATTTGTCATTCGTTGGGAGTCAACAGCCGGTATACTGCCTGCCAATCTGAGCTCTTCAGCCCCTGCAGCTGTGTGAGTCGGGAAAAGCCTCCAACTTGACGTTTGATCCAAGAACTTAGGACTTGCCAGCTTCTATAAGTGTGAGCCATTTTCCTAAAATAAATTTCTCTCTCTCTCTCTCTCTCTAGATACATATATAAGCTTTACTGGTTTTGCTTCTCTGGAGAACCCCGACTAACACATGAATCAAGGAATGGAAAATAGAGGCCAAAAGTAGAATAGGTGAAACACACCTAGTGAAATGGAAGTTAGCCCACAAGGGAAAACTCTAAACCATCAAGTCAATTCTGACTCATAGTGATGCCCATCAGGTTTCCAAGGCTATAAATCTTTAAGGAAGTAGATTGCCTCATTTCTTCCTCCCATGGAGCAGCTGGTGGGTTTGAACTGCCTACCTTCACCTTGAGTGGAAGCTGTGCCAGTTGAGCAGCCCAATGCCTCAGCAGGGCCACCAGAGCTCTTTACAAGGGAAAACGCCAAGTGTTTAAAAAAACAAAAAACCATGAATAGTCAACCTACTTACTGGGATATATCTAATGAGAGACTCTGTGTAGGAATCTAAGTTTAAGTTTGAGGATGGACATAAGGGAAACTGGAGGAAAGGAAAGCCTGTCAAATGTCTTAAAACCTTTAGGAGACAGGACACTGACCTTTTCTTCTACAACCACAATTAGTTGGTGTCCTGGAAAGAAGGTGGCTGGAGCCTCTAAGTATCCCCTAGATCATTATAGCTATAGTTAGCATCACCCGCCTTTCCCATTCTTCATTCCCCCCACTCAAACACCCTGCATGCAGAAGAGTGACAAAACAGAGACTTCTGAATACATTTATTTGATATGTCAGTTGGAGAGAGGAGTAACTTTGGGTTACTCCCCACTTTTATCTGTAGTTCATAAGCTCAGACAGAACAGAGAGCAACTGAGAGCCCATGACCCATCCCCTGGGAAAATGAGACAACCTGCTGTAACGAATTGGTTGGTAGAACAAGGTAAGAATAAAAAGCAGGAAGTTGAAAAGGGAAGCTAAGAGCAAGAGGGCAGCTATAGAACTGAGGCTGGGGGGTTGCTGCAGGAAACCTCCAAGGAGAGTGAAGAGAAAGATATCCTGAAAAGTGGACCTGGAAGCAAAATGTGAACAAGGAGCCCAGCCTGGAAAGAGAAGCAAGACCTGTAGAACAACAGGGTGGGACATTCATGAAGTGGACTGAGTGTGCAAAATCATGATGGAGCCTGTGTTGTATGTAGGGCACACATGAAAAGCAAGGGGTTGCTATCCAGGGAAAGTTTTCAGCAGGAGGGCAAAGATCAGGAACTACCCCAGAGTAGGGATTCCCTACTGCTTCTGAACAATGCAATGAGTTTGGGGCCCATTTGGAACCCTAGCACAAGTAACCCTGTGTGTTTATCGGTGTACCATGCCTGTGGGTACACAAGTAATCCCACATGCATGTAAAGTGACCAGGGCATGAATGCACGTGTCTGTATGCCCAGCAAAGAGAATTTACCCTTCCCTGAACAGTAAGTGTGCTTGTGGACACATGTTTACCCATGTGTGCATGTACTGTGCCCATGAGCACATGCAAGAGACTCCTATGGTCCACGGCGTCTGTGTGAGCTGGTTCCCTCGCCTGTCTAATCAAGCCTTGATCCCACCCTCCCTAGATCTTCTCACTCCTGTCAGCGCCCTGGCTCTCCCGGCCCGCCTAGACTCTGGAAGCCCCCTAGCAGGCGGATCTGCTCAGTCTGCATGGAGTGGCGCCTCACCAACTTGCGCTTGGTCCTGGGAGAGCCTGGCGCCCCGGCTTGGGGAGGAGCAGGCAGCGATGGCGCCCGACCTCCGGGTTGGGGGCGAATGTCGGGGATGGGAGGATGGGGGCTGACGTTGAGTGGGGGCAGGAAGCCGGGCCTCGTTTGAGCGATGTGGTCCAGGAGCAACGTCCCGGAGCCCCTTCGCTCCAGCAGCCCAGGACTCCGCCTCCGCCCGCTCAGCGGAGATACTGCTCCAGGCAAACTTTCCTGGGACTGGCGCGGGGAGGGAGCTGAGCCCGCTAGAGGGAGGGTCAGCGGGGAGGCGCTGTAACGGCGGCGCTCCAGAGACAAGCGGCTAGACTCTGGAGAGTCGGGACAAAGATGTCCGGGGGTGTCGAGCTCCACCGGCTCCATGCGGATCAGTTTTTGTCTCAGCCCTGAGGATAGACCAGACTCCTGAGCCTCTGGCGCGGTGTTTCGGCGAGAGAGAGCACCCCCGCCCGTCACTTTCTCCGCCCATGGGGGCGGGTCCTCCGGGCCTTCAGTGCTGTGACGTCGAGAAAGACGGGGTCGACCGGTCAGCGTAAGGCCGTTGAACTCCATGGTCAGGCGTTCGATCCCCGGCCTCCCCTCGGCGGGCGGCACTGGTTGGGGAGGGGCCACTAGGCCCCAGGGCTCCGAGTTGAGCCTTTTGAGTGGTTTTGGGGGGTGACGAGGTGGTTTGGGGAGAGGCTCAGATGGGGTGGGGTCATCGGGGGGTTTGGGAAGAGGGAATTCAAATACGTCCCGCTTCTCCTCCTCCTCTTGGGCACGAGGGGATAACAACCCCCGCCCTCCTGCTGAAGTCTGCAATTGGATTTCCGAAGGCGACGTGCAGGCCCCCGGGCTAGGGGGAGCGGGGGCAGGTTCCTCCACCCCCGGGGACGGTGGAGAATTGAGATACTGCCGGGTCTTCTTGGTGCCCGACGGCGAGGTGTCGGTGGTGATGATTATGACCTCCGTGCCCTTGGCTTTGCAGGCATCTAGAAGCGTGGCAAGAGTCTCGCGGTCCCCGCGGTCCAGGGCGTGGACAAGCGCCGAGGCACCCGCGTGATCCCGGACAGAGGGGTCTGCACCGTGGGCCAGGAGCAGCGAGGCCACGGCGGCACCCCCACCTCCCGCGCAAGCGTGCATGAGCGCCGTGCGCCCCAGGCGGTCTGCGATGTTGGGGTCTGCGCCTTGCTCCAGGAGGTAGCGTACCATGCGCGCCTTGTTCTGGGGGTCGTCGTAGCGGGCTCGACAGGCCGCCATTAGCGCAGTCTCTCCCTGGGCATCACCTTCGTTCACGTAGGCGCCCCCCTCCAGAAGCAAACGGGCCAAGCGTAGCTTACCCTGACCCACGGCCCGAAGAAGAGCGTGGCCCTCGGTGTGCAGCATAGCTGCGGCTGAATGAAGCCAAGATTGGGACCTGCAGAGGATGGCTAGGGGCGCGGGGGTGGTGGTTGGAAGAGGCCTGAGGGCTCAGTGCCAAAGCCGACCCCTGCGAGAAAGAGAGAGACCTTATAGACGGATACAGACAGGGAAATTGAGGCACAGATAGAGACCCGGAGTGGGATGGGGGAGCTCTCCACCGTACATAGTCCTTCCTAACTCAAGCCTCTAAGTCGCCCCTTCCCCCCCCCAGCCCTAAACGCATGCTGGAAGAGGTGGGAAGGGTGCACCCGCACTGAAGGACTAGCGCGTGTGCAAATACGTACGTGCACGCGCAGGGATATCCGCACCCCCACCCTCACCCCACGGCTTATCAGACCTTTCCAGCACCCCTTTTTATTATCCGCATTTGGAATACCCCTTTCTAGGATGAACGCCCCCATCCACACACATGCATACATACATTCACAGATATCCCCATTCCTAACATCTTTTAGATTGCCACAGCCCCAGATATTGAGTTGGGGGAGGGAAGCAGCTTGCGTTTGGGACCTAAAGCGGGTGGGAGAGATTTTTTTTTTTTTTTTTTTTGCCCCTGCTGATATGTTCTCCATCACTCCTAGCTCTTTCCCCTCCCAGGCTATGCGCCCAAATAGATACCTGAATGTCCGCAGAATGTCCGCTGGGCCAGGGCTGAGGCCGGGGCCACGGGGCAGCCGGGGTGGGGGAGCCGGCTTCCCGGGGGCCCACATGGCGTGTGGGGGGGCACCTGGATCTCCTTGGTGTCAGTGTCTGAGGCCAGGCGCCGGATCCTTGTCCCTCCTCCCGGTGCGCCCCGGGCACAGCGCCGACTCGGGAGGAGAGAGGCTGGGCGGGGGGGAGGGGGGGCGGGCGGAGCTCTGCCATTCTATTTATAGCCGCGTCTCTGCGGGTGGGGGCGTCCGGCACCAAGTCGCTCCCCCACCCATGTACACACAAACCTTCAAAACCTAGAAGCTCCAATCCTGACTTCCCTTTGCCAGCCAACCTCCCCTCAGCCCCAACAAACCTAAGTAAGTGTTCCTTAGGGGAACGCCTCCGCGAACCCAGACCCAGACCATCCCGATTCCTCGCTGAGCTTCAGCAGCTCTTTTCCGCGCTTGGTGTGTTTATGTGCGCCTGTGCGCCAGACCTGACCTGCCACACACAGCACATGGTATAATGTGCAAAGTGGTGGAGAGAACCGACGTCCATACCGTGCAGCGATATCTGGCTGCCTTCTTGTAGTTTAAATGTCAAGAGAGCATGGTCCAGCCAGGAGTCGACACAGTACATGCTCACCCTACCTCCCCCAAAATGAAACACACATCACAGACAAGCTTGAATCTCAGCTCTCTTGCATAGACCTCTTAGTATAGGGAGGGTATCTGGAGTCATTTTTAGATACAGCAAAGGGCATTTCCAGATGCCTCCACAGCATATTCTTGGGGGGGGGTGGATAGAAAAGCGGCATAAGAAAGAGGTAACCTTGTAACACTCTCACTGCATCTCTTTTTAATCTCAGTCTTGCTTAGATTGATTATTTTTCATCTTGTTTTAAGGTCTCTGTCCCAATGGCTCCTTATCTGTCTTCTCTCTTCCTATTTGTCACTATGGGTCTCTCTGCCTGTGCCTCTCCTTGCCACCTGCCTTGTTTCTATGGTTACTATAGTTTCCATCTGCACATTTAGGCATGAGTTTGTGTCCAGCTGGGAGGCACCAGGGGAAATAAGGGATGAGAAAAATATCCTAAGGATTTGTAAAGCTCACCTAAAGTCCTGTGATATCTCAGAGGCTGGAGGCCACTAGACACAAGATACTAAAATAATGTGTCTGGGGAAGACAGAAATATTTGCAAGGAAGCTACACATCTTACCAGCTACCATTTATTGAACACCAACTATATGCCAAGTGTTTTACCTACACTATCTCCAATCCCATCCTCACAGCAACTCTATAGGTTAAGAATTATTGTCTTCTTGTTATGGATGAGGAAATTGAGGCTTAATAAGGTTAAGCAAGTTCTCTAAAGCCTTGTAGCTATGTTCTGTTCCAAAGACTGGGCACTTGTCACTATGCCTACAGCCTCTGAGTCTAGAAATTTCACTCTCAGGACCCAATATTGTCTCTGACATCTGGGGAATAATTCTTGACTGACTTTCAGATTTTATCTTCATTTTGACCTCTTGTCCTCAGTTTCTGTTGTCTGTAAGAGTAGGACTCCCCATTCCACCCTGACACCCTTTACAGGGAACTATGAAAGCCGTGGAAAATGCAGGAAACACGAGGTCCTGCCCAGCCTCCCCAGTACTTGTTCTCTGATCCTTAATCCTTTCTTCCCAAAACCTGTTCCCACCTTCTCACAGACACGGCAGCAACCCACAGAAAAGTATTTTTAGAAAAGAAGTATCTTTTGGTACTGCTGGAGGGGGCAATGTAGTATTGAAGGGAAGATGGGGTAATGGAGAAGAGGCCAAGCTAGGAAACCAGGGTCAGAGAAAGGCTGGTCCCCAAAAGAAGTTTCATAGAGGTTCATTTCTCCGTAGGGGCTGTCATCGTTTGGCCTCTCAGTGGGGCCTCCCTCGCGAATGTCCCTCGGTGAGAGCTGAGTGTCAAGTTCCTCTGTGAACTCTCGCTAGCCAGGTGCTCCTTTATTTAGGGTGAGGATGGAAATTAACTGATCCTTGGTTGATTCCGGAGCCCGATCTCTCGCCCCAACCCGATTCCCAAGCCTAGGTTCCGGCTGGCTCGCTTCCTCCTCCTGCTAAGCTTCAAGTGGGCGGACGTCCCTCCCCGGCTTCTCCCAGATTGGCCAGAAGAACCTACCAATGGGGAGCACAGAGAGGCGGGCCTAGCACTCCCTGGGCCGGAGGAAGACGAGAAAATTTCAAGTTGGCTGCAGTGTGGGCTCCGTATGGGGGAGGGGCGGCAGGTAAGGCTCGAACAGGGTGACTTTGTTCTGGTTCGGTACCGTACTTACTGTACTAGTTCACCGGGGCTGGGCTTCTAGATATGCAAGTTTTTTTCCAGCGGCGTGTTAGATTAGCCCCGGTTGGCTCCATACCCTTTCTCCCTTGGCTCCCATTGCTATGTTGTTTATATGCCAATGAACTGTACATTTGTTTCGCATAATACAGAAGAGGTAAGAAAGCACAGTGTGAGAAAGGTTCACTCTTGTACCTCTCTAACTCTTTGCAATGGCATCAAGCCCCCCCCCCCCCGGTCTGTTAATATTATTCCCCTAACAGCCCGATAAAACCAAAAAAACAAAAAGGGAGCTCTGGTGGCGTAGTGCCCAAGGCATTTGACAGGTAACCAGAAGGCTGGTGGTTCAAACCTACCAGCCACTCTTCGGAAGGAAGATTGGGCAATAAACTCCTGTTTATCTATGAAGTCTCGGATGAAATAGTGCCTGCTACCTGTAGCATTCCTGAATTCTCTTGCAGAATCGTTCTCCTCTCTAACTTTAGGGTTTTATGCATTCTTCATGTATACCCATACATACTTCTTCCATACGCTCACTTTCTTTTAATGTTTTTATTCTTTTAAGACTATAAGATTTTGGAGAGCAAGAACCGTACTTAATACTTAGTGTCCAATAAGACCAGAAGACTGGCGGTTCAAAACCACCAGCCACTCCTCAGAAGGAAGATTGGGCAATCTACTTCTGTAAAGATACCTCCTGGGAGACCCAAGGAGGGGCCGCTATGAGTCGGAATTGACTCCACAGCAGTGAGTGAGTGTTCAATAAGAGTTAATTGAATGGAATTGATTCCAGGAATTGTTGTTGTTAGGTGCCATCCAGTCGGTTCTGACAGCGACCCTATGTATAATAGAATGAAACACTGTCCAATCCTGCACCATCCTCTCAGTTGTTGCTGTTTGAGTCCATTGTTGAAGCTACTATATTAATTCATCTTTTTGAAGGTCTTTGTCTTTCCAGAACCTGATGCTTTTTATGAGGAGACAAGATTTAAACTCGTATATACTATACTGTGTTTTATTATAATTACAGAACAATAGAAGACAATACAATATAGAATCCAAAACCGAACCAAACCCACTGCCTGTTGAGTTGATTCTGACTAAATTTGTGGTTCATAATACAATTGCTTCCACAGTTAGAGAAGGAAGAGAGCAGGGAGCACTGGAATGGTAAGCAGAGGTTTTATTAATCACAAGGTCTCAAGTTTGTAAGCGCCCTTAGAAATCATGTATTCATTCATTCTAAAAATATTTATTGAGCACTCACTACATGCCAGACACAGTGCTAGACAATGAGGGTTATAGTGAATTCTCTATTCTAGGCATGAATCCTTCCTTTGATAATTCATATTTGGTAAATTATTATCTAGCCTTTATTTAAACATCTTTAGTAAGAGAAAGGCCTCTGATGGAGCAATGGATAAGGTATTTGGCTGCTATCCAGAAGGTTGGAGGTTCAAACCCACCAGCTGTTGCTCAGGAGGAAGATAAAGTAGTCTACTTCCATAAGGATTTACAGCCTTGGGAACCCTATGGGGGTTGCTATGAGTTGGAATCCATTTGTGACGGGGTTTGGTTGGGTTAGTAAAAGAATTCACTGTCTCACTCTGAAGGTCATTTCATTTTTGGAGATTTGTTTTTCAGTTAACATCAAACAAATATTCTACACAAGAAATATGTAGTTCAATGAAATGCATTCCACCCTTCCAGTGGAAAAGAGGAAGATGTGTCCTACTGACAACATTTTTAAAACAAAACTATTCTTTTTGTTTTCTGATTATAGAGGTAATATACATTTATGTAAAAAATTGGAAACATAAAGGTATAAAGAAAAAATACCTATTATTCCATGACTGTGATGTAGTGATAACCATTATTAACATTTCACTGTCTCCTTTCCATTTCTTTTCTGTATGGCTGTTTTGGTTACTTTGTGCTGCTCTAACAGAGAATACTACAGATGGGTGGTTTGAGCAAACAGGAATTTATTCTCTTAGAATTTA